GCGGGGCGGCGGTCGGCTCGTCGCCTTGGCAGTGACGCCGGCCCCCGCCGCCTCTGGCCCCGCGCCAGCCGCTCGCAGGAAAATTAGGCCGCCTCCCCTTCGACCCCCCCCCTCGCCCCCCGTCGTCCCCCGCCCCGTTCGGTCTCCCGCGCAGCCGGCGGTGGAGGAGGAGGAGAGGCTCCGTGTTTTGTTGTTCTCTGGCGAGTCGTGCAGCTAGCGCTCGGAGAGTGCTTGCTGCTGCTGCCGCCAATGCACCGTACTTGCGGATGGCCGCGTGCGACCAGGGCTGCACGTGGCTGTTGGTGCCATTCCCACCGCCCCTTTCTCATCGTATTTATGGTCGTAATCTGCTCGAAGGATTTCGGAGAAAAGTGGGTTGGATCAACACCAGCTAGATACTGTATATCTAGGTGTTAGTTGGATGAAAATGAAATGTTTTCACCCCTTGCATTGAAATGTTGGTCCTACTGTTTTGATAGCTAAGTAATGTCGAAATGAAGGGGCCATTGTGCCTACTGTCTGTTTTATCCCTTGTCATTTGCTATCCCCCACCCCCATCCCCATCCCATCGGGCGGAGTTGAGACTTGCCGCTTTTCGGCCGCGGTTTGTGGGTGGCGACGCGACTTTGCCACTTGTGCGAGTTACCAGAGCTCGGATGGGTCGTAGTTCGGGCTAAGTCCGGTTCGTGCCTGAGAAGCTAATATTTCATAGATGTCCCATTTCAGTTTGCTCTGGAATAACTTTCTTAAATATTCTTAAAAGTATGAACAGTCTTTCTTAATGAACCTAAAGCGATAAGTTTCTAAGCAAATTGGTATATCACACGGGCAAACACGGTTCGTAACATTTGCTCCTCTTTATGTAGTATTTTTCTTACATATTATTACATTCGGAAAATTATGCTGTTAGAAAGCTTCACATGCTGCATGAAAAGTAGCTGCATGGTTTGAGAATGTAACTAATGGAGAACTATAACATCTACTGCTCGATGCGACTCGTCACCTTTCACATTCTCTCCAAAGCGCATGAGCCGGTCGCAGTAGGCCGCTTTGTTACCACACATCGTCCACCTCGCCAAGTAGACGAGGCGCCCGCCAAGTGTTTCAACTTCCGTCTGACCTTTCGCGCTTTGAACCCCTTCATTGTGCGTTTGAAATGGGCGAGCGGTAGGGTGGGCGTTTCGTCTGTCTGTCTGTGGCCGAATGATCATTCGACTGCGAGCGGAACAGCGGCCTAGTGGGAAAAGGTTCGAGGTGAAGGACTGGGGACGGATGCTGCTGACGGTATTAATCTGTTTTCATTTAACAAGCTGATAATTGGATGTTTGCGGGGAGAATATTTGGCGTTGGCGATAGTTGACGCGTTTGTGTGCCAAGTGTTCGGTAAACATGGCGAGGTCACTATACAGATGTTGCGCGTTGCATACAGATACGAGAGTAGGCAAGTTCCAAAAGCTGCGAAGGATCTCAGGAGATAAGGTGCATACCGAAGCAACGATGGAAACCTAATTTTCCACTGTATGATCTTTTCTTGTATCATTTTAAGATACGTGGTTAACGCAATGAGAGAGTTGTGGGAAAGTTCTGTGGTTTTGTTTACGTGCATTATATTTATACTGCTACGGTCGAAATAGTGTAAATACGTTCGTGCATGTTATTTATTTTACTCGCGTACCATTTAGGCCATTTTCGGCTAATAAAGACGATGCGGCATTTCTAAACGTCAAAATGGCAACGTCCTGATTCCTTTAGTGCAAAAGAAAGAAAATTCCTTTGAAATATTAGTCCAGAAACAATTGACACAATTTCTTTTAAATTTTAAGTAACTAAATGTATTTTCCCAGTGAAATCAAAGAACTGGGGAATTAGTATCAGCTTTGCCTTTTTTTATAGTGTAAAATAGTCTACAAATCTTATTAGTTACGAAAAAATTGAAAATATACTTGAAAAACGGGAAAAATAGCGGAAATAGTGGCATTGATGGTATAATCGTTAACGTATCGGGCTTTTGCACCCATGTTCAAAAACAGATGTGGTCATGGAGTTTTAAGGAGGAAATATCCTCTGTTCTCCTTCCTTCGAATTGGAAGAAAAGCCAACTGTCCAATGTTGCATGCAATTGGTTCTCAAGCCTAAAAGAAGCCTCTAAACGCCCTTTAGTCGCCTGAGTAATACTTTCTGTGCTTTTGCGAAATTTGCTTGGTCAGATGAGAGCGAACCCGATAGCCTGCCACGTAAAATAATGCATGAACTGCAACGAGTGGCCGCCCTGTTTCCGCAGCGCGTTGTCGTGTGTGCGGCGTGCCTGACGTTTTTTTTCTTTTGTCCCCTCCACAGTAACCCTGTGAAGAAGGGGAATTTATTATCTATAAATGTTTATAAATTATGCTGTTGCTTTGCGGCTTAAGCAGCTAGAGGCGGGGCTTTTTCTTACAACTAATTTACATTCTAGACCTAAAGTTAACTTACTTGCACTTTGGCATTACTAACTTACACTAAAATCAGTTTTGTAAATACTATGTTATATATTCTACGTAAATAGTTATAGGTTGGTAATTTTTTTTCTACGTTTCCTGACGTGCGCCTTGTGCTTGTGTGTTGCAGAGAGCAGCGGCGCGAGCAGGAAGCGCGCGAGCTGGAGAAGGCGCAGAAGGAGCGCCAGGAGCAGCAGGAGCGCGCGGAGCGAGAGCGCGAGCGCCAAGAGCGCGAGAAGAAGCAACAACAACAACAGCAGCAACAACAGCAACAGCAACAACAGCAGCAGCAGCAACAGCAACGTGAGCGCGAGCGCATGGAGCAGCAGCGGCTGGAGGAGCAGAAGCGCGCGGCCGAGCAGGCGGTGCAGAAGCACTTCGAGGAGTCGCTCCGCCTCGCGCAGCACCCCAAGGTGAGCGACCCCCCCCCCCCCACCAGCCCAAGAGGCACACTCGGCGTGCGGGGGCGGATCCACAACGGATGGGAATGCATCCCCCCCCCCCCAGGATTTGTCTCGTAACCACCGTGTCTCTTATGAATGGGAACTGTGAAGCCCAGAGAAGAATTGCCTGTTTGTTAAATTGTTGAGGCGATGCACACGTAAGTTTCCATAAATTTTTGGCTATCCCGGAGACGCGTCGTTGGCTGAGAGGCCGACGTTTCGCCTGAAGTGTAGCAGGCTTCTTCATGGCGGCGACGAACTGCCCTGAGGAAGCCTGCGACATCTGTCAGGCGAAACGTCGACCTCTCAGCAAACGACGCGGCGTCTCCCGGATAGCCAAGACTTCGTTGATGTCTTTCCGTGGGAAATTTACAAAGGGAATCGCATGTCGAAGTAGACTTCTTTCTACCCTGTATTCCGAAGGATCCCACCGGAATTTTAAAAGGCCATTGGAATTAAATATATCCACTTCAACTTTTTTTATTACTGTCTTCCGAAAATTATTTCGAAAATACCGAGCCTGTGGATAGCTTCCACAGTTCAATAGCAGTTCTTCTCTTGTTTCTGAAGAAACAAGAAATCCAAATAATTTTCATTGCGAAGAAATTGATCCTTCTCTTCAGGTTACAATCATAGATATTTCACTTGAATGCAACACGAATACCGGAAGCATTGTGTAATTTGAAACCAATGTTCTGAAAACAATGCATAAAATATCGGATATCAATGGAAATGAATCGGGTAAAATAAACAATTAGACAAATTTCATGCTTTTCAGGATTAACCAAAAATTCTCCCATCCCCTTATGGATCCGCCCTCAAGCCTCTATTATATCAGATATGGACTGAAGTGGTGATTAGTATGTATAGAAAACAGAGCTTTAGAACACTTTGGGGAAAGGATGGTCACATTCTCAATGGGATATACGAATTTCAAATTCCTTAGGTTTTTATTTATTTGATACAAACTTCCTTTCACTTTTAATTGTTTTGTTTAATTATTGCGATTACAAAAACTCGAGTCGACTTAAACATTTATTCTGAAAGAGAATGTGGGTATTGTTCGTGAAAGTGCTACGCAAATTGCTACTTTCTAAAAAATAGTATCAAAGTGTTTAATTTTTATACTTCGGAAGGGGAAAGTAAGTTGCAGTTTCCTTTACCTCATTTATGTATTTCGTGTCATGTTCATTTACCGTTCTAAAATTTATTGAAGAATTATTGGGATTTGAGTTGCGCTAGGATTTTAAAATCTAAGCACATTTTTTTCATGCGACTAATACTTTAATATCTCGTACATAAACAGACTGTATAGAAGTCGATACGAGCAAACACGTCGCGTTATCAATTCTTCAGTGCGTCAAAGAGCGATAACTTGGCCAATGAAGTGCGTCATAATCGTGAAATAGTTGCTATTCAGAATACAGTATTGGTCATAAAAATTATGGTAATTAATTGTTTGTAGATACCACTGATTAACGTAGATATTATGTGATAAAGATAATAGAATTATATCTCTGGTTGATAACGACGTTACTGTTTCTTTTTGTGAATGATTGCCTAACTGTTATAACTGGAATTTGTGTTCGATAAAATTTTGTTCAAACCCGAACTAGTTACAAAAAAGCCGTTAATTGCATTCCTTTAAAAGATATTCCTATTTATCTGTAGTTCTGCGTTCTACTTTACGAATAGCCATGGCAGTTCAAACACCTCTCTCCAAGGATCCTGTTTGTCGAATGAGTGTGCATTTGTATCTTCATACCCGCATTGACTCATAGTTGATGAGTGTGACCCATTTCGCGAACGGAGTTGTTTTTAAGGTTTATAGGGGCTCTATCACTGTTGCTCTCGAATTCAGGGGAGAATGTGCAACAGCAGCACCATTGGCCATTGGCCCCGATGCTCAACTCATTCAGTAGTTGCATGCGCAAGTGCCATTTCCTCCCTAGTGAACAACTACCACTATCATCACGTCATTGCTGCCACCACTCCCACCACTCCCTCGTCGCCTAGCTCTGCCATCTGCTTTTCAGATCATAGGAAACTGTTTGCGTTCTATTTAATGGGTGGATAGTGTGAACAGACAACAAAATGTCCCTTTTTTTACAAAGGGATTATTAAAATTATTTGGTGAATTTTATTTTCCTTTTGTTACAAAGTGTCTCCTCAGCGTTATCACGCTTTTAATCTCATTTAGATTCGTATAATTATCCATTGTTACTGTTTTATCCTCAACGTCAACCCACCACAAATTTCTAGGTTTGAAACGGTGGTTAGGTTTCTGATGGCTGTGAGATTGGGTTTCTTGTGATAACGTATATGCAGGCTGTGGAGGAGCAAGACACGCGATATCTTGTCAATGGTTTGTGGTTGCAATATTATATTCAGTAGTCTTTATGCGTTAGTGTGATGCAATGAGGAGAGTAGCCAGTGCCGGCTCGCTCGTCGGCCCAACCTGTCTGCCGAATTATTCGGAATGCAAATGAATCGGCCGGCCGCTGAAAAATGGTACGGAAGCTGTTTCTCGTCCCCGTCCATGTGGGTATGTCGTTTTCCAACTCCTCCCCGACTGGTTTGTGCACATCGTGGCGACGACTTGCGAGAGGGGGAGGTAGGGAGGGAGAGGGAAAAAAAAGAGAAACATGCTCTCCCGATACGAAACCGGTTACTTCGAAGTCCGGTTGCGGGCCTGTTCCTCCATATTCACACTGGAGCTGTTGGCCGCTTGTGGCTGGCTGTTAGTCGCGGAGGAAGTCTCGTCTCGCCCAAGATGGACAACGTGTGTTCTGATCCGAAGCATGTGCGATAATTCGGAGGGATTTTTTTCCCGTCCCAAATGGGACTTCCTCTCCTCCAAGAAATCACTTTATTTCGAAATGCTAAACGAAAATTTGTAAACGTACGGTACTATATACAACTTATTCATATTGTAAAATACTTCCACATGCTTGGGAAATGACAATAATTGTATTTCTGCGCGGTCGAACTACCCCACATATTCAGTATTTTCAGTTTCGATTCTTACTTTTCTTTTTCAATAGGATATAATTGTGTAGAGGGAAGTGTCATCTACGAGTATTCAATACATGTTTACGCAATTCGTAGCGCTAATTTTAGGTCAGCGACACCATTGCAAAGAGCCCATAATTGTTATGTCGGCAGCGTGTTGAAATTTTATAGTACTATGGTAAGATTATATTACATTGAACGCTTTTCAGATGGGCTTTGTTTATTGTGGAGGTGTTTTTATGTTCGCTAATAGAGTGGTAAAGTCTCATTGTTCTCCCGATAACTTCCATTATTTACCGTCTTCGCGATAATCGACTGTGTTAATAAGTGGCTTTCAAGCTTATCTGTGGCTCTTTGTTTGCAATTATCTTATTGCAAAAACCTTCGGGAAAATGGTGGCTGGTTAGGATTTTTAGATTTTTAGCATGGAGTTTTAGTTTCAACCATGTTAGACATCGGAAGAAACGTCTCTTTTGAAGCAAACGTATTAGTTTCAATAGCGATCGTGTACTTCATAAACTCGCATGTAAAAGTGCAGAAGAGCGGACAGGAAAGGCGCTTGAGGCCAGCGATGCAGTTCCCGGGAGCGCGGGGGAGGGCAGAGTCGGTCGTATGCGCTGAGGCTGCCGCCTGCGGGCGCTGCGACCTTGGTGGGCTGGCGCGGCGCTGAGGCAGGCGGAGTGATGAAGAGGGGGCGGGCTGGCGGCGGCCGCAGTTTGCGCGGGAAACCATTAGCACGAAGCGCTGCGCCGGCGACCCTGAAGTCGCCCGGAATAGAGAGAGAGCTACGCGTTGAAGCGGCTGCTACAGAAAGTGGTGTGCTCCGGGACGGGGTTTTCGAAGATTTGTTATCATGGAATTGCGGCATTGCGGTCATTTGTAACGTAGACAAATCAGGATTCTAGCTAGAAGCAGATTTTTAGGAAATTCAGGCCAACTGGGACGTTCTTTTTTGGTACGTTATTTAGTTTTGAAATAAAACATAAGTTATTTGGTGGATACCGACATACATATGTGCTAAGAAAATGCCTGACGTTTCAGGTAAACGTTGTTTACCTGAAAGTTCGTAATTGTAATGTTGATTGGTGGAATTTGAAGTCGATCGGCCTGATATTTACTTTTTCTAGTATTTTGCTTCGGAGCTTGACGGACTTGCGTTTCCGTCGCATGTTGAAGTCGGATGTCTGCGTTTGATAATTCTGCATTGCAGTGCACATACTATTCCGGGGCCGAGCGTTTATAATAACATGAATTACGCCGTCGTTCCTGTCGCGAGCTTCCTCGGAGATTCGGATTACGTGTTTTTCGCGTCGTTGTGCGACATGCCAGTAATCTACCGTCCGGCAGCGTTTGCTGCACTTTTCCTCGAAAGAAACCTCGTCGTGTGGAATGGGGTGACGCGATGGTGTGTGCGAGGCCGGAGGGCTGGCCGGCCCCGCGCGTCGGGACGCGAGCGCTGCGCTGCACCGAGCTGCGCCGCGCCGGAGGAAATTCCGCCCGGCGGTTTCCGGCCCTCCCGGAAACGGAAACCGCTGCGGCCGGGAAGGCGCGGGGGAGGAGGGAGAGGAAGGGGGGCAGGGCCGGTGCAAGATGCACGCACGGTGTGAGGCTATCGAAAAGAGCTTGCGCCACGGGTCGACGTAGCTTACGTCCCGACGTGTCACGTTGTAGGCCAAGAATTAACATTGCTATTGCATTAAAAGTCACTAGGTGTAGTAGATGGATCACAGTGTTGCAATGTTCATTTCAATGCGGCTAATGCAGAAAAGAGCGAAATCTCAAAACGTAAATGACGATCGACATCCAGATCTCTGTATTGTGTATAAGCAGAGCAGTGTTTCCAGTGGCCAGGGACGATCATCAGTTGCGGCGTTTGATTAAGCGTCTTTCGCTTGACGGCTGTGACCACGCAGCGCAACACCATTTCCACCACATGTATCTTTCAGCGCATTATAAGC